ACTGTGGGTCTGGCAGTGACAGGGCCAGGGGGTGTAGGTCAGGACAAGCCATTGATCTTGGCACATGGGTCCTGGTACAAAAATGGTGTAATTTTCATTTCTGTAAGATTTCTCTTTGTCCTGAGATGAAACATCCTATCCTCTATATAATGCAAGTTCTTAAGAGACAGATAATCAGTAGTCAGAAAGACATTTGTGTACACAACATTAACAAAACTATTCTTTTTTACCCAGTAATCAGGGTAGTAATTTTCCCAAAAGTCATAACTTCCTGGCTTTCAGTAAATCAGCTGATCAGAAGGGAATACAGTCAGTGCATGGATGAGAGACCACCACGGGAGGAGGGGGCAGGACAGACGTGCCTGGATGTGACACTGACAACTTAAAGAATCACACTTCCCAGCTCAAGTTGTTACTGGGTCATGACCCAACTGCAGTGCTAAGGAAGGTACTGCTGAAGGACAGCTGCCTTTTAAATAACACATTAAATAAGGGGTTCAGATTACTTAAGAGTTTCTAAAAAACATTTTTCCAAGGAAAATAGGGGCTTATCGCCCACGTCATGGCTAAATTCCAGTTTTTGTAGCTGCATTCTAGAAACCTAAAATTCTTCATGCAGCTTCTTTTTAAATCTTTGTTCCAACCTATTCCTAAAATGCTGCTGTAAACTCCACCAGCTGCCCTGTTTCACCACTTGGATTGTTACTGTACATTCATGGTGGATAAGAAAACTCAGCATATATCAATCTGTAAAGTGTTCAGGGTGAGATGTTCTTCTAGTGTAAGACAGTTTCTCTTATCTGTTCTTACCTGCATCGATGGCACATGGGTAATGGTATCGGAAAGAGCAGCCTTTGTTGTAGCAGCCTAAGGTGGCTCCTGGCTCCTGGCAATGGGAACATTTCTGAAAGGGATAGAAAAATGAAATATTAACAAACAGGTGGGCCCATACATTTTTTTGCTGGAGATTTTCATCAACCAATACTTAAAGGTTTTCAGGTATCGCTCTCATATTTATCAACCACCCCCCTTGTCCCAAAACAAGTACTACTTTGACAGCATTGTCACACATCAAAGTCAGTTCTAATGGGAAAGGCAACACAAGGTTTCATAGTTTCATAGTTTCTAGGGTCGGAAGGGACCTGAGCAGATCATCTAGTCCGACCCCCTGCCATGGCAGGAAAGAGTACTGGGGTCAAACGACCCCAGCAAGGTGTTCATCTAACCTCCTCTTAAAAACCCCCAGGGTAGGAGCCTGCACCACCTCTCTTGGAAGTTGGTTCCAGACCCTAGCCGCCCTGACCGTGAAATAGCGCCTCCTGATGTCTAACTTAAACCT